CAAAGAGACAGCAGCTTGCTGCCAGTCGCTTGCTCATGGAGCCTGACCCCAAGCACAAAAAACTGCGAAACAGAAGTAGAATTCCCACCGGGTCTCCTTGGGCCACTTGCTGAGAGCGTAGGGAAGGCTGCGGGGGGCACGGGGTGGCCTGAGGGGCAATCTCTAGTGCAGCAGTGGTGAAGGGAGACAAAAAGACAGATTGAAAGAAAGATGGGTGCTCTGTGCCCTGGAGCCCCTTTAACTCTACACACCAACCACCATCCTCTGCAGGGGACTCCTGCCCTCAATGAGGCCGGTCCAACATTCCCCACGCCAGCCCCATCCTCACATGCACAGTCCCCACCACCGAGGACCTTGAGGTCTCTCCCTGTCTGCTCCAGGGACTGAAGGAGAAAGAACTCTGCCTCTCCTCCTCCTCTTCCTCTTCTTCCTCCTCCTCTTCTTACGTTTGGCCCCCTTCCACCTCCCTCCCAGGAGGCCAAGTGACTGAAGCGCAGGTGTCCTTGCAGGTTCAGGGTTGCACAGAGCACTTCATCAGCCAAGGCAGGGATCTTCAGTCTGCGGATGTATCCCAGAAAATGAAAACAGTGCCTAACCCTTCAGATATCTTAAATAAATGCTTTTTAAATGAATATGTGAACGAGGAACTGTCTGCATCCTTAAACCACTCCAGGGGCAGGAAATTGCTCTCCAATGTGATCAGGCTCCTGCCCCCGCTATGTTGCCATTCATTCAGGGTCTTCAGGTCCCTCCTGATCACCCTCACTTTCCTTGCAGACCAACCCTGCCATATTCCAGTGGGACCCTGTTATGGTTTGTGTCTAGTTGTCCCCCCAAAGCCTCATGCAGTCACTAGGGAGGCTTCTAGAGTTTGTGATTAATTCATGATCCAATGCTGGGATTATGGGTGTGAATGCTACTCCAGCCCTGGGGCAGATAATCTGCAAACAAATGTAAGGAGGGGAAAGAGGCCTGCTAGCCACCACAGCTGCTGCTCCTCCCTTTGCTCTTTGCTGTTTTCTGCCTCCATGAACTGCTGCCCTCTGCCATGTGCTGCTCTGCCTTGGAGCCAGCCGAGTATGGACTGAAACCTCCACTATGAGCTAAATACACCTTTCCTTCCTTAGTTTTGGTTGTTGGGTATTTTGTCCCAGCAACGAGAGAAGAGTAACTGAGACAAGGGAACCGAGAGTAAAAGACAAAGGAATAATAAAATCTGTGGCCAACAAGAAGCCCAGCAAGCAGTACACCCCTGCATTTCCACATACCCTCCGCCCTCCATCTGCCCTTAATGCTTCCAAAAGCTGGATTTAGGCTTCTAGATTCAGATACATCCTTGGTGTACTTCTTGCCCCCTCTCCAGCGACAGCAATTTTTGTTGCTCTACTAAACCACACCAAACAGCTTCTCCCACTTCACGCTGCCCTTTGTGTCATTCTTTGTCCTGTTCACAGGGGGAGAGCTGGTCACACTCTAAGCCCTCCACCTGGTGCTGCCCCAAGTGGAGCAGATGAAGGACACTTTGGGAAGGTGGGTGCCCCAGGCATGACCAGTCACATGGTCACCTCTTGGAGGCCAGGGAATGCCAGACATCAGGGCCGGCAGCCAGGGTTCTGATGCCCTGGTGAGCCTGGGGCCCCAATAGAGTGGAGAATGCTAGTGAGTGTGGTGGTGCATACCTGTAATCCCTACCTCCAGGTGACTGAGGCAAGAGGATCACAGCGGATTCAAGGCCAGTCTAGGATACACAGAGTATCCAGGTCAGCCCGAGACTCTGAAAAAAAAAAAAAAAAAAAAAAAAAAAAAGTCCGGCATGCTTTTTCTTTCTTTTCTGCTTCTCTAAGCTTAATTCATCAATCTTTATTCTGTCCAAGGGTTTTAGGCTTTAGAAATTAAAAAGAATGACAACAGCAAGGGTGTGAGAGGACAGATTTACCGGGCAGACTGCTTTATTCATTACTCTACAAGGTCAACAAAGACTTGACACCAACCTTTAGCAATTAATTTTCCTTTTCTCAAGTAGCAGAAAATAAAAATGTCTTGAAAATACTTCAGCGAGGAGCAAGTCACAGTTAAGTCCCTGCAATAATGAACAAGTTCTAGGCCTTGCTCCCACCTGCACCCTCTGTCATGGTTTCTGCTCCTGAACAGACTGCACTGTGGCTTCCAACACAGACAGGAACGAGACATTGTGGTTACACAAGGATCAGAACTGCTCGGACCCTTTCTGCTGTCACTTTGCCATGAGTTTCGGACAGCTTGTATTTTAGCCCAAGCACAATGTCTGTTATAATCTGAGTCATGCTGTGTGGTAGGTAGAAAAATACTTGAAAATAAACTGGAAAAAAGGAAACAAAACAAAATGAACTGGAGCTGTCCCACCTTAAACTGTTGGCACAAACTAGGGGACCCAGTTGGAACGCTGGTTACTGCTCTTCACCTAGGTGCCTTTTAAACGCTGTCACATGCTCATTATTTACATGTTGAAAACTAAAGCACACACAACAGGGATCCTTTCAGAGAGGATATCTATATGCATTTCATTGCAGGAAAGAATAACTGCAGAAAAGATGCCTCTAACTCAAGGCCAGTAAATCTCAAGTTATGGTTGAGTTAAACCATATTTTCTGAATTACTTTGGAACCCAATAAAAACAGCAAGAAAAAACTTAGCTACCTTTTTGTCTTTTTTTGAATAAAAATTCTTTAGTATTTTTTCATTTTTAATCCACATATTTTACCTATTGATGTATCGCAGTGTGATATTGTGAGAGATGTATATAATGTGCAATGATCCATCACCTTAAATGCTTATCACACCCATTATTATCCTTTTCATACAAGATCTCACTATGCAGCTGGGACTCGCAATGATGCTCCTGTCTCAGCCTCCCCAGCGCTGGGATTGTAGGCATGTGCCACATTTCAGGGCCGGCCCAGCATACAGTACTGGAGATCAAACTCTGGACCTTGCACTTACCAAACAAGTGCTTATGCCACTGAGCTACCTCCACAGCCTGCTTATACATCTTTGTTTTGGAAAAATTCAACCTCATCTCTTTTAGCTATTTTAGGATTGTTCACTTCTTCTAAAAGCAAACACAAGACATGAGAACAGGTACCATATACTTCTGGCCATGAATACCAAAATAATCAGTGTGCAGACATTTGGACAAAACTGCTGCTGCCGCTAAGCTACTGTCAGGTCTCTTGCAGCTCTTGGCTCTGCTCTCTCTGCCAGACTTTGTGACCCACTCATGAAACACAACACAGCTTAGGAAGAGACAAAGAAAGCCAGGTGTGGTGGCACGACCCCTAACCCGGCACTCTGGGAGGCTGAGGCAGGAAGGTTGAAAGTTTGAGCCCCACCTCAGCAATGTAGTTGAGAGCCCATCTCAAAATAAGAAGAGCTGGGGATGCAGCTCAGTGTGGGAGCCCTGGGGTGGGATAAGGGGAGCACAAATCTATTTTTTAAAGACAATAAATTATAATCACAGGTCAATTTTTTTTTCTCATCATCCACAAAAGTTTTCCATTAAGCACAGGCCATCAAGTAGTACTGGCAGAGATACATACCATGAGGAATTTCTTCAAGGAACAAAGCAATTAAACCACAGTAGGCAGTCATACTTTCCGGTGTAATACTAACCCACCTTTAAGAGCTATAGATAGGTATGTGTCACACTGATCAAAAACCTGAAGAACAAAAGTCCTCTAAAATGATGTTCAGATCTTCCTGTATGTTAGGTACGCAACCTAATCTACACAAGGTGCCCCCAAAAAGTTCCTCGTGGGCACATGAAATCTTCCTTCACACGGCTGTGGATCAACAGGTCATAGCTGAGAATTTTAAGTTATAACCGAAAAAACACACTCTGGTCACTTGCTTCAGTTATCTGAGATTATGTTGCAGAACCTGCTGGATGCGCACCTAAAAATCGGCATAAATTACTTTTAGCAATGAGAAACTCGGTTCACTGACAATCACACGTGCAAATCAACTAATTGTAAAATCAATATTGTCTGTATGTAAACGACTTGATACTAAGAAACGAAAAGCCATCGTGGGGACTGTGTTGGAGTGGGGGTCCAGACCCCGGCTCTAGCACCGGCGAGGCTGCTGGCCGCCACCATTCGCTCGGGTGCGCTCAGCCAGCCTGGCCCCACGTTTCACGGCCGTGGGCGGGAGGTGTCACGGCCTGGGCCCCTACCCCGCTTCCGCTACTCTGCAGAGAGAGCAGCCTCAACCCCGCGCCCGAGCTCTCTGCTGCACACTGTCCGCAGCCCCGCGTCTCTGCCCAGCGCCGGCTTCCGCGCTCCGCTGCGGGGGTCCTCTGCAGCACCCCAACAGCCCGCCGGCACTCGCCGCCAGCCCGGGCCCAGGGAGGCGTCCCCATCAGCCGATACTGACGACAGCCCCAGGATCGCGCTCCCAAGCAGAATTTCGGAACTGGACCCTCCACCTGCAGCCCGCTGTCCACCACCCATCCCTGGCGACCGCGGCAGGTGGCAGGCGCTGGCCGCGCCGCTGCGCTCCAACCGGCTTGAGCAGGCCGCTGCCCGCGGCAGGCAGAGGTTCGAGCCCGCCCCCGCGCGGCCGAGCGGAGCCGAGAGGCGGGCAGCAGCTGCGCCCCGGCTCCCCCAGGGTTCCTAAGCCCTGGGAGCGGCGTTTAGGCAGAGCACCAAAATTCAAAAAATCTCAGATGAACAAATAGCTTTCGAGGCGGGATCTACCATAAATAGATCTACATTAGAAACGAAGACCTAGCAATGCACATGGGGCCAAGGGAGAAGTAAAAAGAATTAAGATGTGTTATATGCATGGATCAACGTTCCATGAGAAATGTAATCATTATATACTGCAAACACGTACTGATAAAAATAAATTCTAAAATAAAAATGAAACTATGAATAACCACTACGAAGACAATATGCAATGTATTAATTGTTGAAACTGTCCTACTAATCCGTTCTGAAACTGTCTCACTGCTATTTGTTTCTTAATAAAATTTAAAGAAATAAAATAAAATAAAAGAAGAAATTAAGCTTTAGGTAACTTTAAGCACTTAGAAGAATGTGGAACCCGAACTACGGGTCAGCCTGACGCCGCCAGCTCGGTAACTAGGTAACCGCCTCCCGCCCTGCTTGCGCGTGCGCAGAAAGACGTCGCAGCCAACACAGGCCCGCAGAAATCCGGCCCGAGGGGCGGGGCCCTCAAAAGCCCAGCATTCCCCGCGCGCCAACATGGCGGCGCCCGCGTTGCGGTGGCTTTCGGCGGGCCGGTGGCCTGGTGCCCCGGGACTGTCAGCACTCTCGCCGCGGGGTCTGCGTCGGACGCACTCAGGCGCTCAGGGGCTGCTGGCGACTCAGAAGGCTCGGGGGCTTTTCAAGGAGTTCTTCCCGGAGACGGGGACGAAGACTGAGCTCCCGGAGCTCTTCGACCCGAGGTCGGCGGGCCGCTCTCCCCAGACCGTTTACTGCGGCTTCGACCCCACGGGCGACTCGCTGCACGTGGGGCACCTGCTGGCGCTGCAGGGCCTGTTCCACTTCCAGCGAGCGGGCCACAACGTGATCGCGCTCGTGGGCGGCGCCACGGCGCGCCTGGGGGACCCGAGCGGCCGCACCAAGGAGCGCGAGGCGCTGGCGGCCGAGCAGGTGCGGGCGAACGCGAGCGCCCTGCGCCGCGGGCTGCAGGCGCTGGCCGCCAACCACCGGCAGCTGTTCGCCGACGGGCGGGCGTGGGGCAGCTTCACGGTGCTGGACAACGCGGCCTGGTACCAGCAGCAGCGGCTCGTGGACTTCCTGGCGGACGCGGGCGGCCACTTCCGCATGGGCACGCTGCTGAGCCGGCAGGGCGTGCGGGCGCGCCTGCGCAGCGCCGAGGGCATGAGCCTGGCCGAGTTCTGCTACCAGGTGCTGCAGGCCTACGACTTCTACTACCTGTTCCGGCACTACGGCTGCCGGGTCCAGCTGGGCGGCTCCGATCAGCTGGGGAACATCGTGTCGGGATACGAGTTCATCCACAAGTAAGCGAGCGCCCGCCCTCCCTGCGAGCCCTGCGCGCCCAGGGAGTAAGTAACTTACGCGCAGATAGCCTGCTGGTTCCAGCCGGGGTAAGGATCTGGAATGACCTTAATGACACGAGCTGTGCGGGACATAGACCACTCGTCAAGATTGGGGTTCTGTCTGCGACCCCTGGGTCGCCAGTTCTTTGTTTCCAACTCGAGAAACCGTCCGCGCTTGTGGACGGTAACTGGGCGACCTTTAGTCGCCTCTGCTTTAGCTCTTGATGCTCCTTGAAGCTAGTTCTAGCCTTTGATTGGCATCTCGAAAATCTCACAACCTCGAATATTTAACAAGTAACGTAAATCTGATGGGCGTGTTCTTGGAGATGTAGAACAGGGCCAGCCCACGTGCTGTGGAGAACAAAACTTTTGGTGGTGGTGGTGCTAAGGATCAACCTAGAGTCTTGTGCATGCACGGCAAGAACTGTATCCTGGAGCCATGTCGCAGGATAAAATTTCACTTTAAAAATCGCTTTAAAGCAACTCTTTTATTGAATTAATAAAACAGCTGCTTTAATGTTTCTTCCTGACTTGCTTTTCTCTCGCTTTTCTTTTCTCTACTTTTTGAAAATCACTTCCCCCGGCTTGTCTGGAGCCACTCTGTGCCATGGTAGTTTAGGATGATGAGTGTGAACATAGGTGAGTGTTGCAAGGAAAAAAAAAAAAAAAGGACACAAGAATCTGTATGTAGGAAGGGCCCGGGAGATAGCTCAGTTGAATAAATGCTTCCCTGGCAAGTGCAAGGGCCTGAGTTCAATCCCCGGCTCTGCAACAAAAACAAAAACAAAAAAACAAACAAAAAAAAAAAAGAATCTATATGTAGGAGGTCAAACAATTAAGTAACAAGACCAAAATCTTGAAGGGTAAGTAGTGTAACCTGACGCTTGGTGCTCAGAGCAGTCATGAAATCCTTTTTCCTGTGTAGACTAACTGGAGAAGATGTGTTTGGAATCACTGTCCCTCTGATTACAAGCACAACTGGAGCAAAGCTGGGGAAGTCCGCTGGCAATGCTGTGTGGCTGGACCGAGAAAAGACATCTCCCTTTGAATTGTATCAGTTCTTTGTCAGACAGCACGATGATGCTGTGGAGAGGTGAGTCCTTAAGAAGTGGGCTGAGAGGGCTGGGGAGATGGCTCAGTAGAATAAGTGCTTGCTTGGCAAGCGCAAGGACCTGAGTTCAATCCCTGGTTCCACCAAAAAAAAAGTGGCCTGAGAGCCATTAATGTCCTAAGCGTAAGGTAGTTTTCTATGTTCAGTTTCTACGTGCCCGTTCTAGTTTGGTGTTTTATTATTTTTTATTTAGAGTCTATTTGAGCATTGTGTCATGTTCTTAAACTTTCTGTTAGGTTAGACTGCCATGGTGGTTAGCTAGAAAACTTAGAGCTCAGTTTTGATCTGTAGCAAGTATTTAGGATTTTATCACATGCTTGTTCTAGTCTTTGTTCATTTGAAACTACTTTTGTTTTCTGTCTCTCCTTTCACAGATTTGACTCTAATGTTTTTCTTTAATGTAGCGTACAACACCTTTAGGATTACGGTACTTTTTATTTTGATTGAAAATCTCACTAAGTTGCTCAAACCGGGCTCAAATTTGAGATCTTCCTGCCTCAGCCTGTCTTAGAGTGCTAGGATTACAGGCTTATAACACAAGCTCCTTTTTATCTTTTAGTTTGACACAGGGCCTTGCTGAATTCCCCAGGCAGGACTTAAACTTGCAGTGCTCCTGCGTCAGCTTCCCTAAGTGCCAGGATTACAGATACGCAACACCATGCTTAGCAGGGATCCTTTTTACAGTGACTCCTGTTACCTTACATTGCCTTATACTCTGAGAAGAGTATAATTTAAGGCAAAAAGAAATAGACCTGCAGCAAAGGAAACTAAAAGGATATTTGATTCTACTGTATCATAAAAATAATCTAAGAATAATTCTTTCAAAAATTTTAAATATGTAACTCTTGCAAATCATCAGAAAAGGCTCTTGACCAACACAAAGACCTCCATAAATGGAGAGCTACACCATGTTCATAATCCCGAGCCATACTCAGTTTGATACAAAACTCAGTGCAGTACCAACAGCACATAAATGGGGCTTTGGGGGAACTTAGCAAGCTTATTCAAAGATTTATGTGGAGACAAGAAGATCTAAGATTGCTGTGACATTGTTTTAATTGAACCTCGGACCTTGCACATATGAGGCACATGATCTATCGCAAACCTACCCACTCAGCCTGTGCTAGAATATTTTTGAAGAACAAAATGGAAGATATGTCTTACTACAGAATTACAGTAATTAACGCTTTTCCTTTACATTTATGGTAACACATTTGATACAGTCCTAGGGCTTTGCTGTATAAAAAAAATTACACATTTTTGAAAGTTTCATTTTCTGTTTTTGTGAAAGGCTTGAATTTAATCCCTCTACAAAATTCTCAAAGCTAGTGAGCAAAGGATAACGCAGTAGAAAAAAGGAAAGAAATATGAACAGGCATTTTGCACAGGTCCTAACCCACAGGTCCGAAACAGAAAACGTGCTCAGCCTTTGTGAATTAAAAAAAAAAAAAAAAAAAAAGCCAAGTAAAGGCACAGTAAGGTACTCCATGCCTTCCATGGCGGTTAAGTGTGAGTCTTGGTATACAGCATGAAGCGTCACAGTACAGTACCAGTCGTCCGTGAGAACATTCCGAGGTGCTGAGAGAGGGACCTCGGCGATCTGTTTGGAAAGCTGTGTGGCAGCACCTGCGTACATGACGCCAGCTGGCCTTTTCCTGGGTACATACCCAACAGAAATGAGTGCGTGCGCACACCTAGACTTCTTAAATATATGAAAATGGGGCCGGGGAGATGACTCAGTAGAATAAGCGCTTGCCTGGCAAGTGCAACGGCCTGAGTTCAATCCCCAGTTCCGCCAAAAAAGAAAATATAGCAGCACTGTCATTGTCCAAAAGTAGAAATAATGTAAATGCCCGCAGCAGAGTGGAATAAAGAAATACACGATGCACAGCCACAGGACGGCGCGCTCTGCTGCAGGACCGTGAACAGCTCTCCTGAACACTCCGATGGCCCCAGCAGCCCGTACAGGCAGGCACACTTCCTTGTAGGGGTTGAAGTACTTTGCTCCAAGCTCATCTTCATTTAAGGGATTGTATTGAGAAGTCTCCTGTGATTCTGATGCGCTTTCCTTTGTAGGTGATTTGTTTCTTTCCTCTTAACAGCTTTTACTATTCTGTTCTTAGGTTGAATTTCTGGGATCTTGACTAGTAATGCATTCGTATAGTTTTTTTTACCATGGTTTCTGAAATACTACATGCTTCACTTGCATGTATGTGAAATTCTTTTTCCATGCCTAGGAAGTTTTCTGCTAGTACCTCCGTAAACAGGTTTTTTATGGCCTTTGTGCTGTCCTCTTGATTTTTCTTTTCTTTTCTTTCTTTCTTTCTTTATTTATTGTGGTACTGGGTATTGAACTCAGGACCCCGCACTTGCCAGGCACATGCTTATTCTACTGAGCTATCTCCCTGGCCCTAGGTCTTCTTGATTTTTTTATCAATTCCAGTTGATCTTACATTGTTTTAGTTAATTACTTTTCTCATTGCTGAGACAAAGTACCTGATGCCCAAAGTTAAAGGAGGAAAGGCTTATTTCAGCTCACAGTTTACAGAGGTTTCATTCCCCGTGGGCTGGCTCCAGGGCAGGGTGACCTTGCAGGAGGGGCACCAGAGAGCAGAAACAGCCCACAGCAGGCAGCAGGATGCAAGCACCAGTGCCAAGCCTCTTTTTCTCCCTTGTATTTTACCCACACTGCTCGCGGCGGGCAGCACTCACCACCCCCCATCCTTGTGCCCTTGAGCCTCACATTGCGCCATGCATCCATCCTAGCAGCACTTTAGATCCAGCCACCTCGAACAAGCCCCACCTGTGACCAGGTGAGGCTTTGCAGGGACATCTACACACAGTAATAGCATCATGCTTCTTTACATTGTCTAGCAGCTGTTGGACTGATATGTTGTGGTACCTTGCAGAAATATACACTTTATGATTCCATGTATGTACCCTTACGGTAAAACTTGCTGGGCACAGTGGCCTGCCTGAAAGTTAAACCTACTGTAGGACCCAGGCGGGAAGAAAGCCTTTGAGCCCAGGGGTTGGAGGCCAGCCTGGGCAGTACAAAGCCTATCTCAAAAAAAAAAAAAAAAAAAAAAAAAAAAAAAAATCAAAACTAAGAGATGCAGCTAAGGAGGCGTACTAAGGTGTTGTAACAGTTAAAAGCAGGGAAGCAAGGCTGATTGTCTTTGAGGCACAGTAGTGGTTACACTGAAGGGAGCCCAAGGGCAGATGTCAGGTTTGGCTTTGTTGGGTAGGGGCAGGCAGTGTTGTATTTTTTAACCAGCGGGTGGCTATATAGATGTTTGTTCCATGATTAAGCTGTATGTTTCATGTACTTTGCTTCAGTGTCATTTCCCCAAAGAAAAGATTATGAAAGAAGATCCATATAGAATTTTATTCATGGGTATATACATGTAAATCAAAAGTACTGCAGATTGAAGGATTTTGATGAGTGGTTATCTTGAGGGACAGTAGGGAGCGTGACAGATGGGATGGAGCCTTTGTAGTGTTGGTTTTTTTTTTTCACAGTCACATCAAATAAGGGCAAAAAAGTACTTTCCAGTCTGTTTTTGTAAGGATATGTTTTTATTTTATTTTATTTTATTTTTTGGCTGGCTCAGGATGCCTTAAGGGCAGGTCTGGGAAGTCATGAGGTTCTGGGGATCGAACCACAATTATCTTGAGACTGAATACCTTTGCTTAAGCAGGCACTTAAACAACTGAGATAATGGGCAAGCCCCTGGATGTGTTATTTTAAGCACCTTTCTGCATCTTGTTTTCATGTTTAAAAATGAAGGCAGGATATTCTTTAAAGGGTGAGGAAGCTGGAGGTACAATTAAATGTCTGATGTAAAATAGCCTTTATTTCTTGTCCCCTAGGTACCTGAAGCTCTTCACTTTTCTGCCCGTTGCAGAGATTGACCACATTATGCAGCTGCATAGCAAAGAACCAGAAAAGCGGGGTCCACAGAA